AGTTAATTTCATTACAATGGACTTGAACTTGTATTGTATTTTTTATAAACTAACATGAACAAAGGTTAATAAATATTGTAACAAATGTATTGCTCATTGTTACTTAATGTTACTTAATGCATTAACTAATGTGACCTTGTTGTACTTTTTGACATTTATGACCAGAAACAATAAATAACAATAAAATCTGTACACAGAATTGGTTTTCAGCACCTTCAGTGCTTGGACTTCTAATGTAATACATTTAAATATAATATCGTTGGATAAAATGCAAAATTTACTTTTGGACCATGGCCCTCAATCAAGTTTAATTTTTGGCCCTTTGTATTAAAAAGTTACATTAAGAAGTTACTGTATTAAACATTAGAGGCAACTCTGATTTACATCAAATGAAAAACATCTGATCAAGGACTTGGCGCCCCAATAAAGCGCACTACTACCACACTACTCGGAGGTGTATGTGCAATGTACACACACACACACACACACACACACACACACACACTTCTTTAATGTGTGTTTCTGTGTGCTGCATGCTTCAGAGTATGTCGGTGCGAGAGGGGGCGAGCTGCTGCACACTTCGCTTCTCATCTCTGACACCACATTACATAGAACGAGTCTTCCCACTAATTACCCCAGTGACACACTGAGGAAATTCCCAAACGGACTGCCGTCATGAAGGAGAACATGGTAACAGAGAACAGAGTCCTTCTTTCAATTCTCTCCTTTCTTCCCTTGTTTTGTTTCACTCGCTTTCTCGACCTTCAGCCACCGTGATCCCAAAATAAGTGACCTGGCACTGAATGGCAGTTGTAAGAGACAGCAGCTACTATTTTTAGCTGAGTGCTCGAGCAAATATTGCATCATTTGGATTTATCATCTGATGAAAGAGCTGCCATATCAGACAGCCCTCTCTCTCTTTAGATCTCAAAACTATGCAAACCTGAAGGAAATACTAGCTGGCAAAAAAAAAAATTGCAAAAAATGTTGATATTTACTCACTCTCAAGTTATTCTTTCTTACTGCTCTTTTTCATACAAAAAACATGAATGGTGACCTGTCAACTCAAAAAAAAAAATCACTATAATTATTCCAAGTCTTCTGAAGCCATACCAGCTTTGTGTGAGAAACAGGCTAAAATGTATGTGATTTTGGAGCTTGACAGCCTCTGGTTGACATTTACATTCGTTGTACAAAAACGGGGAGCATGAACATTCTGCAAGACATCTTCTTTTGTGTTCCACTTAAGAAAGATAGATAGACAGATTTAGAAAGCATCAAAATTATGTAAACCATTATTTTAAAGCTTTATGTTAGCATATATTCTATACGTAAGCAAAAAGACTATGCAAATGCATACTATATGCATATTAAAGAAAGAATTCAGAATTCAGGATGCAAATGCCATGATAGCATCATTGCTGTCAGTTACATTACAGTTTAAGTCTATTATGATCACCAAGCCTGCATTTATTCAATCAAAAATACAGCAAAAACAGAAATATTGTAAAATATTATAATTCAACTGAACTTATTTTAAAGGGGTCCTATTATGCTTTTTCACTTTTTCAACTTTAGTTAGTCTGCAATGTTGCTGTTTGAGCATAAAAAAAGATCTGCAAAGTTACAAAGTTCAAAGTCCACTTCAAAAGGAGATATTTTATTTAACAGAAATCATTTTTCAAAAACTACAACGAACGACACGTTTGGACTACAACGCATATTTTCCGGGATTTGTGATATCACAAATACCGACGAATGGGACGAGACCTGGTTGAGCTGCACTAGAGAAGGCAACGAGTGTTATCACTATGTCGGAGACACGCTAGCTTTCCAAAGGCAGACGAACTTAGAGTGGTTACAATCATCCGGGTTTAAATCACGCTCAAATTGATTTTATTTTGACACAATATTTATACTGAAGCTCGCAGGCGGCTATGGTAAGGGGCATGACATTTCCCGACCAGGCGCCGAGTGCTGCCAATCACAACACACACTGACCCAGCTAACCAACCACAGCACATTTCGTATTTCAGAAGGCGGGCCTTCATTTGATACAGGAACTATTCGAGCCGTTCATGCCAGACTAGGGAGAGAGGTGTTGTAATAATGTAAAATATGTGAAAAATAATGTGTTTTTCGAACAACCTAGTATGAGAGCCTGTTCTAGTACACCCCCAAAACAAAATCAAGACTTTGTAAAAGAGCATAATAGGACCCCTTTAATATAATATGTAATTTATTCCTATGATGGCAAAGCTGAATTTTCAGCATCATTACTCCAGTCTTCAGTTTCACAATGATCATTCAGAAATCATACTAATTTGCTAATTTTGTGCTCAATAAACATTTCTTATTTTTATCAATTTAATGCACCCTTGCGGATGAAAAATTATTGATTAAAAAACAAATAAAAAATATAAAATAATATATACACTTTTGAACGGTAGTGTTAAGTTAAAGAGAGTTTTTCAAGCTTTATTTTTTAATTAGTCTGCCAAGACCAAAAATAAATAACAGCCTTTTCTGTTTAATTATCACTTGGAAATGGAAACAGCAGAAAATGTGTTTATCCACTCGATCTAAACCCTATTGCCCAAACAGAAGCAAACTGTAAGAGAAGGGTTTGCTTATCTCCGGGCATCAGCAGAGATATATCTGGTTGAACCTACCTTCACTTGTGGGTAAGACTTCCTGTTCTTCTCACTGGAGGCCCCTGGGAGTCCTCCGTGGGAGGGGCCCTCACATCCATAGCGGAACCTGAAGCCCCTCTGGAGATGACAATGTCAGACTTAATATTTTGCTATAATGAGTTTGTTATTGTCACTGCCTGTTGCCAGAGTTACCAGTCTCTTCTGAGCCTCTGTGCCATCACAGTGTGTTTAGCTTAACACATTAGGAAAATCGCTTGCAAAAGCAAGAGAACATTTCAGTGGTGATGTTTTTTTGACTAGTTCAAATTATTGAACAAGAGCATTTGCAAAAAATATTGTATGCATTACCTGTTTTGGTTGTTCGACAATTCGCAGATAAGGTCCGTCAACTGCAAAAGAGATGCAAAATAACCTTTAATTGAACTGTAAAATGAAATTCCCTCATCAGTTATTCTGTTAACCTTCCACTCTGCAGTCGCACCTAAGTAACATTCACACTTCCACATCTTTACACTTGCTAGATCATGATTAGTTTTGAAACAGAAAACCAATGTCGTTTAGTTAATTGTACATTTCCCTTCGGGAATTAATAAAGTTTATCCTCATAAAGTTTATGCCATATTTATGCCAAAATTGATACGGAATGTTTGAATACATCATATTTTGAATGAAATTTGTGAACAGCAGTGAATAACAACTTAAATATCTGTTCTTCACACAAAGCAATAAAAAGGCAAAAGGGCAGAGTGAACATTGTGTTGAATATCTCCTTTTGTATTTTATGACAAAAAGGAACTCATATGCTTACAATGTCAATGTCACAATGCAATTCAAACAGAAGCATAAGCAAACATGACTAGCTGAAGTAATTTAATTCAACCAGGTGTTGGAAAATCAGAAGGATTAGAATTCAATCTCATCATGCAGACTTTCGGGCCGTCAAGCATTTCAGAGCTTTTGCTGAGAGGTGGGTGTTCTGCAGATATTTTAGGGCCAGAGCTCTTGCTGTACCACGTGTTTCCACAGAAGTGCAAGCCTCTTCCTGTGCACTACAAAGACTGAGACCACATCCTTGGTGAAATGCAGCTAAATCAATCAGCTGCTAAACCTGCAGAATTTAAACTCACACAGCCCAGCTTCAATGTGTCCACTTCTCCCAATACACTGACATTAGGAAACGGTCCAGATCGATGAGCGTTTATTATGATATAACAGGGACAGGTACTTTATTTGGTTAGATAAGATATCGTTGTATTACCAACATTACTCACCTGTTCTTTGCTTGATGAGGTGTCTCAAGTCTAAAGATGTCAAAACCACAGGTGCACTGAACTCAAAATAGCTATACATTATTCAACTGTCAGATTGAGCACACCATCTCAAAACAGAGTAATAAGGGGTGTTCCTACTTAACCCTTAGTAGCTAACTGTATCACTAGTATTTCCACATTGTGCTGCTGCATGCTTGAATAGAGCTGAACTCTGTTCTAACATTTTGTCTAACCGGTTTGACTAAGTTCTGTTGCTCATGTTACCTCTAATTACCACCTCTCACTGAAAATAAATGATGCTAGTAAATGATGCTTTCCTGCTGCTGATGTGAACGCCCCACCAAGATAACTCCATGTAGTAGAAACCTAAACAAACAGTTCACCCAAAAATGGCAGACAATTTGGTGAATATCCACGATGTAGATTCATTTTTCTTTCTTAGAACAGTTTTGAAGAAATTGTAATGAAATTGTATTGAAAGTGAATGGGTGCCATCAGAATGAGAGTCCAAACAGCTGATAAAAACATCACAATGATCCACAAGTAATCCACAAGACTCCATGACATTAATTAATGTCTTGTGATATAAAGTGAAAAGCTGCATGTCTGTAATAAACAAATCCATCATTAAGAAGTTTTTCACTTGAAATTGTAGCTTCTGTCTAAAATACAAGTCCTCTATCCATAATACTGCTTTCTCCAGTGAAAAAAAAAACGAATTTGAATCAGGAGAGAAATATGAGAGTTCTAAACAAATCTGTTGGTGGATATTGATGCGAAAGGACAACAGGGGAACTGGAGGAAGTGTTATTATGGATTATGGACTGACATTTTAAAGTTAAAAAAATGTAAAGTTAAAACACCTTAATGATAAATTAATTTCTTCAAACACACAGCTTTTCACTTCACAAGACGTTAACTGATGGTCTGGAGTCGAGTGGATTACTTGTGGATTATTGTGATGTATTAATCAGATGTTTTCCCACTCATTCTAATAACATCCATTTATTGCATAAGATCAGTTGGTGAGCAAATGATGTAATGCTAAATTTCTCATTTCTCCAACCCATGGACTTTCATTTGCATTTTTCTAAATATCTTCTGTTTTACAGAAGAAAGAATGCCATACAGGTTTGGAATTATTATTTTTGGGTGAGCTATCCCTTTAAGTGTGCCCTTTTAAAAGTCTTTCATTCAAAGTAGAGGTACATTTTTAACCAAAACTGCATAGGATTACAGTTTTACTGTGCTCAAGCAGATCAAGCACACGTGTTGAAAGGTGGCAGCCCCAAAACAGCACTTATCTCAGAGAGGTTTCTCATGCAACCACATGGTGGTGAAAAGCTGTTCATGGATTTCAGTCGTGTCTCTGTAATCCAATGAGCCCCTTTTAAAAGTCTTTCATTCAAAGTAGAGGTACATTTTTAACCAAAACTGCATAGGTTTACAGTTTTACTGTGCTCAAGCAGATCAAGCACACGTGTTGAAAGGTGGCAGCCCCAAAACAGCGCTTATCTCAAGAGAGGTTTCTCATGCAACCACATGGTGGTGAAAAGCTGTTCATGGTTTTCAGTCGTGTCTCTGTAATCCAATGAGGAAGTGAAAAGTGTGGGGAAAAAATAAATCAGCTCTTGTAGCGCAATCCTACACACTATACGAATGACTGTGTATGACATCACTGAACCAAGGAATGAGATGTTTCTGGGATTTTGTGTCTGCACTTCTGTAGAAAGGTTTATTGGATTTTGACCTCTTACTGAATGTTACTGCAGGGTGACTGTTTTCTTGAGAAAGGAATAAAACAAGAAGTAAAACGGGAATGAAGGCTAGTCTTACCGCATCCATTCTGCAAAGTTCAGCAAGTTATCTCTTTATCAAGACCTTGATTGAATGACAAATCTGAAAACTCTAAGGAGTCTCTTACCAGTCCTCATTACATTATTGTTGTGGATGCCCGGAAATGGTGTCGGGTCCATGGTCATCCATATTGTGTCGTCTCTGAACGGGTCAATAGGTTCCATGTACTTTAAAGAGAATTAAAGCAAAAACAATGAGACACACATGCACAAGAATATTTTATATTATTATTCCAATATTTGGAATTTGGCCATATTCAGATTATGTATGTGTCATGTAAACATATTTATCACATTAAAAGCCATAATTGTAGAATTACTGAAAATACAACATAATAAATCACATATGCTGGTTTCTATGTATGCTGTAGAGCAGTGGTTCTCAAACCTGTCCTGGAGTACCCCCAGCCCTGCACATTTTGTATGTCTCCCTTATCTATAGAAAATACGAAGGGAAGTTAAAAGCTAATTCTTTATTGGTTACACAAACAGTAGAAATGTTTTGTTCGTAAGCGAATCTGTGTTTTTGAACAAATCTTTTAAGTGAATCGTCCTTGTTCGCTTTCATGCTCGTAACATGAAGAAGTCACTCCGCTTTGAATCAGCTTTCCTGCCTTCAAAGACTGATGCTGCTTCTCAACGTGCCTACTTATACTACGCCCTTAAAGTAGGTACTCTTTTGGTGAAGAAAAAGTACACACTTTTGAGTGTGTAGTAGAAGAGTAGGCAAGCTTTGGGACATCCCACTGAGCAAAGGTACGTCCAAACGACGTCATTTCAACGTCTTTTTCGGACGTTGAAATGACGTCCCCTGAAGAGCCAGAATGAAAGTTTTTATGACGTCTTTTGGACGTCCACAGGACATCTTTAAGAGGTTAAAATTAAGTTCAGATGTGGTCATTGTTGGACGTATTTTCAACATCTTATAAAGTCAACTGCAGTCTCATTTAGACGTCATTTATACTGTTTCTGGACAAAATAAAATATTTTTTACCAGGTTAAATGTTGATTAGTAACTCAACCCCCTTTTTGTAAATCTCTCTACCTAACCGTCGATCGCACGCATCCGCCACCTTTGTAGTTTTTGTAACGCGTTTTATTCGTGTTTGTAGTTCTGGACCGAATCCTTCGCCAAAGCGCACTGGATTGTGGGCAATTTTAGCCATTAGAGTGTGCACGGATCCACACTTCGAAAATCGACCTGAAATAATAGACCATCCAGGGACTTTTGGCATATACTCTTTTCAACATACTATATGGTTTGGGACACACTTATGCCTTGTCCAAATACCCACACTTGCAGGTCTTTGCACTTGACCACTTGACAACTAATATGACGTATTTCCTGTATTTGGCCCAAGTGTTCAAGTGAGAATGAAGACCACAAGTGTGTGTCTAACTTTTTTTTTCATTACCTGATGGGACACACTTATAGTGTTGTAAAAATGCATGTGTTTACATAGCTTTATTTTAAAATCAACTTTAAATGTCTGTTCAGTAGTCCCTATAACATTACATCATTTTAATTTGTGGTGCTTCTAATTAAGTGATAAAAAAGCAGTTGTAAATGTTGTACAAAATAAATATCACCACTACTCATCTTTGCACCAATAAAATGTAAAAACACAGTTTTTCTACCAAATTATATGTAATATCTAATTATTATATTAAAGGGGTCATATGATGTTGCTAAAAAGAACATTATTTTGTGTATTTGGTGTAATTAAATGTGTTTATGTGGTTTAAGGTAAAAAAAAAAAACACATTATTTTCCACATACTGAACATTATTGTTTCTCCTCTATGCCCCGCCTTTCTGAAATGCGTCGA